CTGATATTTTTTTTAAAAGACTTGTCATTCCTTTAAGATGATGGTTTAATCAATGCAACAAACTAATGTCTGGAGTCAACTGTGGACATACCAACCAAGGCTCATAGGAAGTAATAGCGATTGGACAGGTTGGAAAACCTTGCCTGATCACAATTGATTCCCCCGCATAGACAGGTGGTGAAGGTGTATGCAGAGCACCTCCTACACTTCTCTCCATAGGCCCAAACATAAATGGATAACTAATGGAACCTTTGTTAGCGCCTGCCGTAGAGTATTCTATACATCTGAATGCCCTCTATCGTCTATGGGCAGCTTTAATTTTCACTGCCTTCTATGTCCTGGGACTGTTTAGAACAGGGTTTCTCAATCAGGGTGCTGTTTGAGAAAGCCTGGTCTGGTGCTGTTTGAGAAAGCCCTCTGGCTTCGTCAGGGGTGCCTTGAAATGTTCATACAGGGTCATGCCTTTTCATGGTGCAGGCGGCCTGAACACCAGCACTACTGAAATGAGTAATGTTAATCTAGGAAGGGTGGGATCCATTCAGAAAAGGACAGATTCACCTGCATCCAGGCTTGCTTTGCCTCCCGTCCTCTACCATGCAACTGCAGCCATAGCTCCTGATGTGATGGTAGGACTCTGAAGGGGAGACTCTGATGTGAAAGGGGGAAATCTGATGTGAGAGGGGGTTCCCTGATGTGAAGGGGTGCTCCTGATGTGAAGGGGTACTCTAATTTGTTTCTGATGGGATGCCCCCTTAAAATCTAAATACATTTTTTTTACATTTTAGACTGGGGTGCCTCAAGATTTTGCATACTTTTAAAAGGTGCCAGAAACACTGGTTTAGACAATCATGGGGGCCACAGATCAAACTTTAAACTAACATCATGTAATTCTGTTTAGCAATCTTGTAGTACTTTGCCCTGCATTCAGTAGTAAAGTTACAAGCTATCCTTTAAAAAAAAACAACTGAATGAAATGTGTCTGTATACAGGGATGTGATAGCAAAACAAATTTGACAGCATAGTGACCTATAGCTAAGTCATTTCTATTGTGACCAATTGTTCCCTATACATGCGAATGTACCTGTGACAGCTCACATGTGAAATAACCTGTGACAGAAGTTACCAGCACACCAACATTCCTTAGTCCAAAACGCCTTTATTGACGTTAGTTGTTCATCATATAACAAAAATAAAGCTTTGCTGGGATATCTACAGAATGACCTGTGACAGCTCACACGGGATATGTACCTGTGACAGCTCACACATAAAAACATCATAACTGACTTTCTTACCTTCTACATTTCCAGAGATTTCAATACGTACTAAAAACATGTGACACATAGAGGTCAGCTGATTGCAATTTACAGCCTGAATAGCGAGATAATAAAACCATACCCCAACGGGTTATATAAGCCAAGTATGTGATAATAGGCACAAATATGTTTCCTACCTGTGGACAGTCCTTGATGTAATGACCTTTGTTGAAGCAGAGGTGGCACAGGTAGTTAGGAGGGGGGCGCTTGCTGGGTTTTCTGTTCTCGGTGGAGAGTGAGATTTCTGAGAAGTGTTCTGTTAAAGAGCTCAGCCCATCCACGATGTTGTTCAAGGAGCCATAAGGAGATGCACTCTTGTAAAGGCTGTTACCCAGTGCCTGCTATAGACAGAAATAAAATGGTTTAGATGCTTTGCATATTACTTTGCTATTATTGTGTATTAATTACAGATAGATACAATGGTTAAAGGGGAATGTATAGCTAATTTTCAGTAAGAATATTGGAGGGGATTTATCAAAATGGGAGCAGACAGAATCTGGAGCAGTTGCCCATGGCAACCAATCAGATTCTCTCTTCAATTCCTTAAGTTAATATTTGAAAATGAAAGAGAGAAGCCGATTGGTTGCCATGCACAGCTGCTCCAGATTTTCTGTGCTCCAGTTTGGATAAATCTCCCTCATTATGTTTATTTATTACTAAAATATTTACCTAAACATCAGTTTTGACATGGCTTTCACTTTCTTACTTGCTTGCTGCTCCGTATGTATATTATTATATTTTATACACAGACCTGTAAATGTTCCCTCTGTAAATGTCACCTGTATATTATGGAATGTACATGGCACCGCATGGCACAGAAATTTCTCTCCCACCTCGTATCCAGGCTTGCTACCTTGGGGTTGATTTACTAACCTTATAAACACACCACGAACGTGTATACACCTCTGTAGTGTGTTCCCTCCCAGCATGATCTATGGGTGGAATCTAAACACCTTTGTAATGTGTACACACCCAGCAGGTGTGTTGTGCAAAGCCCTGAAGGAATTCCAAGGTGATGTTGGGTAAATTAGCTCTATGTTGTGTTGCTTGCGTTGATGAATGCAGGAATGTAAATGCATGAGCTAACCATTTTTGTCTAAACTGTGAAGCAGCATTATATATGCATCATGTGCATGATTTTTACATATATGGCATTAGTGGAAATATGCTTTTAGAGACTTTTTGGTTGATAAATACGTTTTGCTGTGTGAAAATCACACACACCTGGTGTGTGTGTTTAGGTTAGTAAATCACCCCCCTTATCTCACCTTATATACTTAGGTGAGGAAGGGGAAATTGTATTTGCAAAAGAACTATTGACTCCGGGAGGAAGAAATATATTTCCAGGGGCCTAAGTTGGGGATGAGGGACACAGGGATTTCCAGATACAGTCTGCTACACAGCCAGAAATCGGGGAACAAAGATCATTATAAAGCTGGCAATACAATGAGCAAATTTCAGCTTGATAAAGCAGACAATATTCACTCCATGGGTGGCTCTGTTTTGCAGCCTCCTCCTCCTTGAAAATCGAAGGAGTCCGGCAGAAAATTGTCAGCCTAAAGTGACAGAAGCCAATCTGCTGCAGTCACTGTTTGGGTATTTGGACAGCAGCACACCCGCTGCTGTCAGAGTACAATAGCTTGGCAGAGAGGATTCCACTATCCATGCTGTTTAGTGTGGATGGAGGAATCTGTTGGATTTTTTTCTCAATCAGCCTACAGGCTACTGATGTACGGCCAGCATAAGGCACTGTGGAGTGGTAATGGTGGGCCTGTAGTTGCTACAAAAGTGGCAATGGAAGGGACTGATATTTTCAGTTGTACTACACTCTGAGTGAAGAAGTGATATTTGCAGGCAGAAGGTGATGCTAAGTCAGGAATGGAGACCTAAGAAAATGTCTAGAGGCGACGTGGTGTTTAGCTGGAGTTTGGGGGGGGATATTGTGTTTCCAATGTATTTGTCACCAAATAAAATACAGTGGAACATCACAGCCATTGTTTAATCTTTTGCTAGGAATTGATAATAAGCATAAAAATGAGCAGATTTTTTCCATGGTGGAAAATGTTTAGAAGACTTCCATGAACCCACCCTGTGTTTGGCAAATAAAGCAGCTTTAGGGAGGTTAGAAAATTCAATGTAAGCTGACAAAACAACTGGCAAAACATTGTACGGTGACTTAATTTCAGTGCAATACAAAGTATAGCGCAAATGTGTCTTGTAGAGCGTGTGTGCAGGTCATGTCCACCATATTGTGATTCTATCTCTGGTGTCTGCCGTCCGACTGCAAGGGATCACCATGTTGCTCGAAGATTGTTAGTAATCAGGGCAGAGGAAATCTGGAAAAGTGACTGTATTACTGCACTCTATGATGCACTGGAGTGCAAAGCAAAGAGTTACATGGATCCAATAGGCAGAGCACAGTAAGTGCCCGTTCACATCTGAGCCTAGTGTTACATGCATGGTTCCATGCAATTAATATGCTCGATTGCACAATGCACCAAGCATGCGTTACTGTGTGCTAGGTGTGTTGCATTGCAATTCATTTCATGGCATCTCAACGCACCTCCCATGCTCCTGTGTTGTTACCCTGACACATAGTTCCATAGTATTTGAGGTTGAATAATGACACAAGTCCATCAAGTCCAACCTATTTTCATCTCATTCTTAGGAGTACTTGTACATGCGCCTCCGATAGACACTACAAGAGATTGTCCAGGCACCTTAGTCACTATCATGAAGCCAGTTCAGATCAATGATGTGCATCTGACATTGGAGTTACTGTATGTAGACAGCCAGCCTGAAAAGGCTGGAGGAGATCAGCAGCACTGAGATGCAGAAAATAATGGTAAAAAGTGTAAAAACTAAATTTTGTGGCAACAAAATGATAATTTGATGATAAACTGTGCTATAGCAAACCAATTGGCCCATTAATAATGGAGAGCAGACACAGCTATCCGCTCTCCATGGTACTCCGCAATGTTTACTCCATATTACACTCTGAAGTTTACAACTCATTTAGAAAATGCAGACCGTGGTATGGAGTCTGCTGTATGTGTTCTGCATTGGATTGGCGGAGAGGCCAGTAACTTGAACTTGACCACACTCTCCTCCTCCAAGAATCTTTCTTTTAAATTAATTAAAATAAAAAGACGCTTTGCTTGCTTCAGAGCTTGGCTGTGCTTTATCATTTTTTTAAAAGCAGTTTTATGCCTGTGGTATGATGGGGCCTGAAATGGTATCCTTCCTGTATAATAATGATAAATCTCCACACGGCTACCACCTTTTGTATCACTTGGCCTTCCTTCTAGATTGTAAGCTCTCCTGGGCAGGGTCCTCCTTAACATCTTGCCTTGACTTGTATTGCAACTGTACAGTCTTCCTTATATTGTAAAGCACTGTGCAAACTGTTGGCTCTAAAAAAATATTGTATGATAATAATAATAATAATGATAAAGTTTATAAATCTACTTTAATTGTTGCCAAAATCATCAAAGTCGGATATGCACAAATGTATCTACAGTTTAATTTACTGTACACATATGGATATACAATTAGTAAAACTAAACTTGACTGCAGTGTTGGAATGGCCATTATATTTATGTGACTTACTCTGGATTTACCATTAGAAATTGTAGACCTGTACCTATGGGTGATAGAGACAGACAGGATGCTGTATATAGTCATTTTTATTTCCCATCATCAATAGATATATAGTCCTCTCACACAAGCTTTAAAAACACATTAAATTCTAAGGATAAAACCAGTAAAACAAGACAATGTTCTGTTTACAAAGGGTGAATTTAGCACAGGTTTGTTTCTCTGGGTACCTACATGCTACATAGATAGAATCTAGCCCTGTACTTGCAGATATATGACTTAGAAATTCTGTACTGCTTTACACAGAATGTATATTGTTAAACCCCAAAAGAAGTCTAATATTTCTTCCAAGAAAAAAAAAAGCCCAATTTTGATGGCAGCTGCTTACCCTACCTGTGTGTTTCTGGATGTGGGATACTATGTAGCTAGTGACCCTGGTGGAACAGAAGTGACAGAATCACAGAAGGTTATCTGGTGGATCCAAATCCCAAATTGGCACTTAAAACGTGTTTCAAAGTTAAAAGGAAAAGTGAAAAAAATCCATGAACTGCGAATGTTTCCAAGGAACACTGAACTGTAAAGATAGACAGTTATTGTTGAAATGCTGTAACCTAAATAACGAACAACAAAGGTGGTGACACTGCTGATAGTAGAGTCCAATATGGCTTTTTTATTTACAAAGATAAATAAAGTACATTATATTCTATTGAACTTTATAAACAGGGCCGGATTAAGAGCATCACGGGCCTGATGCTGAGGATTTCGGTGGGTCTTTTTATGGAAATGGAAACGGTCACCGGGGCCCTCTTCCTCCTGCCTGGGCTGTGATTTGTAGTCTCTCTACAGCTTGGAGTCAGTGGTGGAGCGCCAGGGCCCACTTGCAGCTGTGACCCTGGTAGATATGCCATGGACTCCAAGCTGCAGTGAGACTACAAATCTTAGCAATATATTATACAGCAATGCAGAATACCGCCAACTATAGGAGGACTACAAATCGCAGTAATACATTACATAGAAATTCAGAATAATACCATTAACTATAGAGGACTACAAATCCCAGCAAAAAATTATACAGCAAAGCAGATTACCACTAACTACTATAGAGAACTACAAATCCCAGTAATGCATTACAGAGCAATGTACTCTACCACCAGCTATAGAAGACTACAAATCCCAGCAATACACTGTAAAGCACCGCAGAATAATACTATCAGCTATAGAGGACTACAAATCCCAGCAATTCTTTATACAGTAATGCAGAATAACATGAGGCTACATACTGTGTGTTTCTCCGGGTTCGCGGCCTGATGTCTCCAAGGTCTAAAGAGAGCTGTGCGAGGTTTAGGGGGGCTGTGCAGGCTCTCAGGAGGCTGTTCAGCTTGTTAGGTGGCCAGTGTGGGCTCTCTGGCGGTCAGTACGGGCTCTCTGGCGGTCAGTGCGGGCTCCAGGAGGGTCAATGCAGGCCTTAAACAGGAGATAGCCGAGCTGCCTGGATGCGGCCGGCCGTGATTTGGGTCAGGTCAGGCTGGCCACCACTCAGGTCTGGTTGGGTTGGCCTGGCCGTGACTTGGCTTGGGTCCGGCCAGCCACGACTCGAATCATGGCCGGGTCGGCTCATCCGCGATTCCTGTCGGGTCGGTTATTCTGCATTAATTACTGTATAAAGAATTGATGGGATTTGTAGTCCTCTATAGCTGATAGTACTATTTGCAGGGGCGAGCCTGGAGCTGGAACTCCACCC